TATCTATGTTCCAGCTTATGGATGGCATCAAAGCAGTACCTGGATATAATGTCAGTCTATGTTTGCAGGATTAAAGTCTTTATTTATTACATTATATTTTTACATTATGTTGTGTTAATGTACTCTGCAAAACAGTAAGTGTTATGTGTGCTCACATGCTAAAGTACTTAACAGTCCAACCATTTACAATATTTCTCATTTTAATATTTTTTCCTTACCAGGTATGACATGGACTTCTTTTGAAACATTAAATGCCAATAAGGCATATGACACCAAATTGTTTTAATGACCTGACTTTAAATATTAGCTGCCTTGAAATTATAATCCAAACAGTATTCTAAAATGACTAAAATTCTAAAAACTTTGTAGTTCTTCATGTGGGGAGCCAGAATTGATATTTAATTCTCAGCCCCCTCATCATAATTTTCTTCTTTCATTAGGTAGCTCTAGTCAAGGAGTGACTATTGGACTATTTTGGCTTAGCTATACTGATCTGTCTTTTTCTCTGTATTGCATAAAACAGTATTAAACTTGTTTGCCTAAACCCTTATAAAATTTCCATCAATTCTGATTGAATTTGTCTCTTGTTAAAAAGAGTTGTATAAATTACTTGTTCTGAACAAGCAATTTAAAAGGCTAAGCCTTTACTCAGGTGAAGAAAATCTGGAAGATCATATAGGTCAAGAGGAAAGGTCATATCTTTTATTGGACTAACCACGTAGCTGGGAGAGATGTTAGACAAGGAGCACTCTTCAAATCTAGGAAACTGATGTCAAAGCTTCGCTTCCATTTTTATTATCTACTGCATAATAAAAGTGTGTGTTGTCATTACACCACCATGATAATACTTGTCCTCCATGTTTGATTGTTTGCCAAACAACACTAAACACAGAGTTCAAGATTAATCCTTATTACTGTCAAAGTCAACTGGAGTTAATAAAGAAAACTTGAGTCTTTAGTAACACTAGGAAAAGTTACTTTGTTGAAAGACTGATAGTCTAGATAGCCTTTTTGGTTCCTGGCAGATGTTCTGTTGAAGGCCACACTTTCAATTTAAGGCACAAATGGAACCAGCCATATAGTACACATATTTTGTGTAATAGCTTTGTGGCTTATTCCCTGTTATACTGCACCATTAATTGAACATGCGACTGGGTTACTTCTTAACTAATTAACCATTAAATGTCTGGTTAAACATCTACCAGGGGTCTTATACACTTAAAGCAACATTGAGGCACCAGCAGTATTGGTTCTGATCCTGCAAAAGGGAATTCCCTGTCTGTTTTTCTGCATTGCAAATAGTCCTATTAAGGTCAAAGGCACTACCCACTCTCCATAAAGTTAAATGTGCTCATAGGTCCTTGTAAAATCAGAAGTGTGGAATCAGATTCCTTCTTCTTTCTTGGGATTACCTTTTATGCTCTGTGACTACTACACTAAGGGCATGTCTACACATGCTTTTATGCGTGCTAAACTTAATGCGCAGTAAGGCAATTTAGGCATGCGTCTACCTGTGCACACACTAAGGCGCATTAGTCCTAAGTCAGTCCACACACCACGTTAAAGTTAGTCCCAGGTCAGTTGACATACACAGCATAAATATTCCTTAGCATGTCTACACATGCGTTAAGACACATTAAGGGCTTGCACGTGTAGACCCGTGCCCTTAATACACTTTAAATCAGCAAGTATAGATGCACCCAAGACTGAAAAATGATTTGCTACTGTAAAATAATTACACTTAAAACAGTAATAGCTTATTTTGTCATTCTGTATAACATAGAACTAATAGATACCACTGGGTAAAATTCTAAATACCTCCAGCTTCAAAAGTGACTTAAAATACCATGAAAAATAAGTGTAATAGGACTAAGGTGTTTAAGTACTTTAGCCACTAAAATGAAAATTTTTACTATTGAAAATAAGATAAGCTTAATCAAGATGTTATAACCTTCCATGTAGTAACCCTTTAAATAATTTAACATAGGAAATGTCTAATATAGCAGAAAGAAATATTATACAAGGAATTCAACTCAGAAGAACTGAAGTTAAAAAATGGAGCCAGTTTGTAGGAAAGAATTTTAAAAGCAACTAAGGGATTTAGGAACTGCTGATTAACTATGTCAAAAGTACCCAAGCCCTGCTTTCAAATGCCCTTAAGCACTTCAGAGACTAATTCACATGGATTTAGGCTCTGCATTTGCATGGCCAACCCCAATTTTAACTCCCTTCCAAGCCTGTTTTCTCTGTCCCTAGATCTTCCTTTTGTTATTTACAGGAGCATCATATCTGGAGTGAAGGAAACCTTCACAGTTTCTTCTGCCTTTTAAAGTCTCTGCCCTCCAGTCCTTTAAGTTATACCCTGCAGGTGGTTTTCTGCACCCCCATGGAGAATGCAAGATCAAAGTGTTGACTAGCTTACATTTAAGCTGACTAGGTAAAAGTCTTAGTCGTATGACTGATAGCACCTGAGTCAGCTACTGCACCTCTTTGGAATACCATGCGTCCACCCAGCCCTGCATAAAATTACTTTCATTACTTACTTTTATAACTGCTTTTCTCCCCCTCAACCTTCCCCCCCCCACACACGTTTAGTGGTGCAGAATGGTGGGTTTTACTATGGTGTGTTTGGAGGGCTTGGTTTTGCTTTTTTTTTTTTTTGAATAGGAGGGGAGTTCACACAGACAAAGTGAATGTTTTGTTCAATGCTTTTGGACACAGGTCTGCCTTTGGAAAGCCTTCTCACTTACCACAGATGCAAGTGCCTCAAAGACACCTCAAATATCATCAGAGTTACAAGCATACTTTCCATCAATGTGATGCCTCCAGGGATTCATTGCAGAAAGAAGGAAATAATGTAAGTGGAAAGCCCAGAGACTAATTATATCAGCTTCTGCAAAGAAGTTCTCTTCCCACCATTTAGTTACATGAGGAGTTTGGACAACCTACTGTCTCTGTTTATGCATCCCTTGTCTTGACTAGAAGAGGAAGAACTTCCCCTTAGAGTAGTATGAACTGCTTCTCTTTGCCTTACAAAAAAACAGATTTGAGGTGCAGGGTACTGTATTTTCTCACCTGCAACACACCCCAGAATAAAATATGCACCTTGTTTTTGAAAGGCAAAATGGAGAAAGAGGTGTTTCCTTGTAGTAACAGAGCAGCAGCAGCTAGGGATTTTTGCCTGCTCATTATCCTGCTTCCTGTGAGGTCGTGTGCAGATTTTGCTTTAACTTTTGCTTGTAACCAGCAGACACAGCTTTTTGTTTGTTTGGGTTTTGTTTTGTTTTTTGGGGGGGGTGTGGTATGTGAGAAAATATGATAATATTTGTTATTGGACTAATTTGTCTTTGACCCTCACTTGGCTACATCTAGATTAAGGAAAGGTGCATTAAAATACATTGGACCTCATCTATCAGGGGCTGATCCATGGTTAGCCCCACAACTTTCTTGCCTCAGCTAAAATTGCCAGATTCTGTTATCCTGGGCTGTAATAGATCTACATTCTTGGTGGATTCAGCACACGGGGAAATGAGTAATGGACAGCTGCCCTGTGGCTGACATCTACACTGGTTTAACTAAATTAAAGACTAATTCAGTTAAAACCAAACCTTACTTCTCAGTGTATACCTGAGTATATTTGCAGAGCTGTACCCTTGAGCTAATTAATGGTCACTCATGTTGAAAGCAAGGTAATTCAATGCCCTTTATGCCTTTGCCCACAATTTGGCTATGCCTTTGCTGACAGTTACTGGGTGCCCCTGCTGCTTCTATGGCAGGTGTTTCAAATCCTACAATAAGCTGAGGCACTCCAGGGAAATCTCTCTCAAGAACCCGTAGAAGAAACATCTGTCTTGGGGAAGGCACAGAAGCCGGTGAGCTCCAGATTCAGACTGCCTTCTCACTTCAAAGTGTGTAGGTTGGCAGCAGGACTGAAAGCAGGACCTGGACTCTCATTTCTTCTCCCTTCCCCAACTAGCCTGAGTTAAGAGCACCACCTACCACAGATGAAAGGGTTGTGTGTGTTGATGGGAGGGAGGTTAGAGGCAACACCTGAATTAGAGAGTTAACCCTAAAATGAAGACAGCTTTTGGTGTCAACAACAGCGCATGACACTGAATGCTGAAATTGTGCTTGTTGCTAAAGTTGGGGGAAGCTTGCAGTTCCATACAGCCACAAGCCTGGAGCCCAGAAGAGCATTGGAGGACTGCTCTTCTGGCTCAGTGACTTTCCTGGGAACAATATTATACAATACTAAAAGGATCCCCTTACATTTCAGACTCACACTGAAGGGGGACAAGAAAGTCTGTGTGAATCCTAGTGCCCCATGGATCCAGATATTGTTGCAACACCTGACCCAAAGGTACTGTATATCCAGTGGAGTCAGTTACTTTTGGTAAAGGAAGGGCACAGTCAGAAAGAACCAAAAGAATACGTATTGTGTTTGTGCTGGTGATCAACAAAATGACTGCTAACTAAGAGACAGGAAGGGGTCTTTCATTTGCAATTTTAAAATTCTGAGAGAGCAGGAAAGTTTATTTTATGAAAGCTGCTTTCCCCCCCCTTGTTGCTCAGTGTTTAGAGAACCTAGCAATGCATCATATTTTGCCACCTAAAATTCCATGTACAATGTTAAGCCACTCTTCACTTCCCCTGCAGAACTGCCTGCATGGTGCTACTGAGCATCATTAAACAAACACCTGGAGTGCAGTGGCAGCCTAGTGAAGACATCTTGCTGTGGCTCCAAAGGTGGAAGCCACATTTATGCTGAAGGTTGCCACCCAGTCCTAGACTGGTTCTTGGTCACTGGAGCTGGGGAGTTGGAGGTGGTCAGAAGCAACACAAGCCATATTACTCTGCTGCATGCTGTTGGCCATAGCAGCTGATGTGCTTTTATTATGCCAGTCTGAAGAGCTGTTTGCCTTGGGTTGGCCTTTGACTTTTTTGGCCATTCAACACACTAGAGCAGATTTTCATTCAGATACACTCTGCTATTTCTAGTTCCCAGCAAATGACTTGTGTGTTTGTATAATTTTAAACAAAGAGTTTAAGGGATATTCTAAAATAATTTCTCTTTTTTTTAACACAGGAAAGCCCTCCAAAACAATTCAAAACAAGTCATGTATTCATTCTGACCAGGAAACCTGATACAGAAGAAGCACTCTTGCTAAAAGGGACTGATGAGCCTCCTTTGGAGAGTAACATTTTAAACAGGGGCGGACAATTATTTCAGGTGGAGGGCCACTTACTGAGTTTTGGCCAGCCATCAAGGGCCACATGACAGGCAGCCCAGGGCAGATTAATATTAATTTTCTAAATTTTTTAGGGGCCCCGCAGGCTGGATAGAATGGCTTGGCGGGCCGCATCTGGCCCCCAGGCCTCCTTTTTGCCCACCCCTGATTTAAAAGGCTTCCCAGATATTTCTGCTTCATCATGATGCTATTGTTTAACTTGAGTAAGCATGTTTAAAGGCTGGAGTTTGAAACTCTGTAGTTATTAGTTGTTGCCCTTGTCAACATCAGAGGAAGGAGTAGGGGCTGACACCTCTTATTGCAGCAACAACAATGGGGAGTTCTGTCTTGTGAATGCTAATTAGTCCTTTTGGAATAAGGATGGTGAAAAGCTTATCTTTCACATGTCACAAAAAGGAATCTCCCTATTCATGCATGCAGTAATTAGGAGGTATTCCATGGTACCTTACAATATAGGACAGAGCTTATCTTCCTCATGTCTGTATGATTGGATCACCCTCCCTTTCTACTGTTCATACCCTTTAAAGCCCTATGTCACTGTGCTTGTCTCTACATCCACCCTTCAACTCTACCCAACATTTCATCTGCTTGTAAGCATCTTAAACCCTTGCTTGCATCCCTTCTTCCACATAGCTCCCTATGCAAGCACCATGTCCAACTGCAAGATCTTAGTTTTGCTATTTTACATCCCTCTTAAAGAATGACTTCTGCTATGCTGCTGGTAACAGAGAAGAGCCCCTTTCTGGTCTGTCTGAAGGCATGCTATAAGCTATGTGGGAGGGATGTGGGTGTTAGCCTGAGGCACTGTCAATGCTACTGCATGCAAATACCATGGTGGCATATCTTACTGAAGCAATCATTCAAGTGTGAGGCTCTGTCTACATTACAGGGCTGCTGCCGTTTTAATTACAGAGGCCACATTAAAGTGGCCAGGCCCCCAGGTGCAGATGCAGCTCTGCCCACAAAAGGAGCATTCTCTGCTCAGAATGACAGAAGCTTGGCTGAAAGAAACCTCCTTCTGCTGTCAGAACCTAATCCACATGGGGGTGAGAGGGTTGCCTGCATGATTATGCTGAAAACAGGATGTGATCTTTCCACACCCCCAACCCAGTTGACATGAATCTGCTGGAAGACCTTTGCAATGTAGGCAAGGGCTTAGAGAGTTAAAGATATCCATGAGCGCGCCCATTTTCAGGCCACATGTTTTGTCCAGATAACACAAATCCCCACACACAGACACATCTGCAATCTACTGTGTGATCAATAGATTAATTATCTAAATCACTGGACAAAGCAGGGATAAAAGGAGAGGAATCCAAAACTAATTACCCTCAGGGATCCTTATCTAAAGTCCAGGAATTTGTCTCACTTGTGGAAATAGAAAGGAAAAACATGTTACTTTAGACCAAAGAGACTTCAGTCTTCCTATTCTTCAGACCACCTCACAAGACATAGTCCTTTATGGACGAATGGTTTTGCCCGTCTCCTTACTTGAACCAAGCTTTGCATATCTGTGTGCATGGTAATGCCATTTGGTTCACAATCAGGTAGGAATCCACCGAGTATGAACATCCACACCTGTCAGCCCCCGTTATTAAGGAGTAGCTGTTTGACTTTGTGCTACTTCTTCCCCTGGTTCATACATGCCAGGTGAAAGTAAGAGGCTCTAGCAGAAGACAGAATTATTTCTGGAACAAATTGCTGCTTTGCATTACAGAAGGCTAATTCTGTCCTTTTTCTTTTTTTGCTCTTATTTTACAGCAGTATCTTCAAACTCCAGCCAGTGGCAGGGCCCATTGGCACTAAGTGTGGTACAAAGATCATTTTGAGCTCTGTGCTATCTAAATAGATGAGACAAAGGATATTAAGCAGGGAAGGGCAGATACACTGCAGGTCAGTGCTAGAATGGTTCTAGAACCAGGTGTCCTGACCCTGAATCCAGCCCTAAGCAAGAACAAATCCAATTGAATGCATCTATTGTGCTACCTAAGCCTGAATAAACCGAAACCTGCTTAGGACTTTGTACCACTGTAGAGCTGGATTTGCTAAAATTTAGTTCACAAAGCATTGTATCATTATGATTATGCTATTGTTAATGCAAAGATAAGACTGGCTTCTTGTTTCCAGCAATACAGTCACCATTGCTGTCCTGTATTTTGATTGTGTACATTACTCAATAAAGTGATTGATATGCTTCACAGTACCAGATTTTAGAGTGGTTTCCATTAGGAACTTAAATGAAATCTTTGTCTTCCTCAGAAAAAGGGGGATTTGTGATAAGGTAGCTTGCCCTCCTGTATAAGCCAGGGGACTTCTCTGTATTGATTCCTATTTGAACTAGAGTACACGCTTTAGCAAAAGCTTCTGGTCTTAATTTGAAAGCTTCCAATTATGAAAACTCCACTGGAACCTTTCATGAGTTATCCTAAGCAACATCCACTTGCACCTTATTTCTAATTGGAATGTGTCTAATTTCAGCTTCCACCATCAGCTATTGTTATGTCTGCTCCACTGAAGGATCCTGTGTTATCAAATTTCTGTTCCTCATAGTGGTACATTTAGACTACAGTCAACTTAGAGTGACAGGTCTGCCTTCTCTCAGTTAAGTTACTAAACTGATGCCCTTGAATCTAAGGCAGGCTTTCTAGTTCTTTAGGTATTGCCAAGGGCACTTCTCTGAACTCTCCAATTTACTAACCCCCTCTTGAGCTGTGAATGCCAGAAGTTGGCATACTATCCCAGCCAGAGGTAACAGAACCTCCCTTCTACCTGAGAATCACCTCTTCATATATCCAAGGCCAGCTTTAGCCTTTTTGGCCACAGCATTGCACTGGGCCCTCATGTTCAGCTGGTTGTCCTGGAAAGCAGCAGCAACTTTGAACAAGTCTTGGTGGTCATGGTAGAGGGAATCTCTCATACTCTTGTATGGCCTTCATTTATTGTTCTTGTACATGACTTGACATTTGGCCATACTGATATGCATATTGTTTGCTGTATATTGACCCAGGGAGTGGGGGAGTTTCTAGCATATTTCTGTGCTAAGGAAAAAGGAGTTAAAATCTGTCTTGGTTCAGTATAACTCACCCGGTAATTTAGTATTTGAAAACTCAAAGCAGTGTTAATGGATGGGTTCCTCTACCCACAATGCAGTGCTGGCACAGGTCAATCTCAGAGAGGAGATAACCTGTAGTAAACACAAAGAGAAAAAAGTTGATTCCAAAGCCAGATAGACTCAGAAGAAATACATTTGGGGTACAGCATCTTACTGTAAGAGCAGGAGAGAATGTGCTTGTGGTAGAGGGCTTGAATAAAGGTCAGGGCATTAAGGTTTTACGGTCAGAGAGGACGCCTTCCTAAATCTTTTAATTTGATAACATTATTACTGATTTTTAATATTAATTCTATATTAATTTGCACAGATTTCCTTATTGGAGCCTCTGCTCTACTCTTTGTTCTTTACAGTTTATTGCCTCAAAATGTCTTTACATTTTAGAATATGCTGGAATTACACTGCACAAAGAACTGAGAACTCTTCCATCTTAGTACCATATGCACCAGCTGTCTCGCATAGCTCCCATATTCAGCCTGTTAACATTGCTGCTAGCCAACTTTCAAATTCCTTGAACTTCAATAGCCTTCTTAGAGGAGCCAGCTGTCAGATTTAACCCTTTACACTCAGTAATCCCCCATCTCTCAAATATGCCAGGTATTTAGGCGACTGTATGACTCCTGTTACATGTGCACATTCCTGATGTTTCTCATTGTTCAGCCAAAATGCACTGGCCATTCTAAGGACTGGACAAAGAGTTCATGGGTTACTGTCAGGCAAAAGATGCTACAGGAAAATTTATGTCTGTCCTTACCAGTTTTCAGTAGTCATGATTTTGTGTTCTTCACATTGAGCACTTTTTTGGTTTCAACCTGCTGTGAAGAATGATTAATCCTGACAACACCCATTTCAGGTAGGTACTTGTGCTTTCCCCAAAATTTTACTTACTAGGGTGAAATTCTGGTATTGTGAAAGTCAATGGCAAAACTCCCATTGAGGTCAACGGAGCTAAGATTTCACCTATCCATCTTTGGATATTTTAACTAAGGAAGGAAATGGAAGCAAGGCTCTAGGCAATAAAAATTGCTCTCCCTTCATCCAGGGAATAGTGCTGCATTCTGAGATTGCAGGAATAAGTGAACAAAGACAGCCAAGACCTGCTGGATTACTAATGAAACCACCACTTCCCTTCATTACCGCACTCAGACAACCAACTACAGCAACATTTGCGCCGCTGCTTTATACAGACCATTTATGAGGCAGCATTAGCTCAGACAAGTCCCAACATATCCCATGATTACTCAGGAAGACTGAAACATGAGGGGTGAGTTATTCAGTTGAGAGGGTTCTTTTAAAAGAGTTTAATATTGTTACAGGGCTTCTCTTAACCACAGAAAAGAGGCACTTAGTTGAGGCAAGGCTGTATCTCAATTCTTGAAGGGGGAAGAAAAGTGATAAAGTATCTGCTGTTTTGTCTGTGTGAAAAAGCTCACTGGCTCCATAAATAAGCTACTTAGGTGCTTTTGAAAATTTTGATTTATGTGACTTTGAAACCTATCCACCTCATCCCCACCCCACCATCTCTTAGTTGTAAGAAAGAAAATCTCTTCAAGTCCTTTTTTCTTTTTCCAAAAACCCATATGAAACTTTCAGATGAGATGGAGGGGAAAAATCCTGTTGAAAATGGACTCTTAAAATCTAGAAGTTGATTATGGGGAGAGTTTTGTGAAGTGCTGAAGTCACTTTTGGCCCCATGAATCCTGTTTCCTGGACTCAATAAAGTGCTTCTCTTACTTTTTCCTGACCTGGGCCAGGAGCTCAAAATTGACCTCTCTCAGAGAAGCAGCACTGGCATGTAGATTTCATGCCTCCTAGATCAACCCTCCACATCAGACCCTTACAAAGGCTGGGAATCCTTCTCAGGACAAACGTCCCGATCCATATCCTTCTACTCGTCTTTCCATACACCCACCCATCCAGCTGTGATGTCCAGTAGGAAGGAAACAGGTCCAGAGCTTCCAAGTCCTCTGGAGATGGGCAGGTCCTGGGGTTGCTCTATCAAGCACTTTTTCCTTTGATGGACAAGGTATCAAGGCTGGAAATTTGAGCTGGAGTAGGCCCAAGAAGGGGCTTCTTGCAGACCCACACTTTGATTGGAAATCCCAGGATGTGGCCTAGTTAGGCTAATCCTCATCACAGAGGGTCATCCTAACATTGAATGTTCAAAGGGACTCTTTACCCCACTTTTGTGTTGGGTTGATATTGCTGGCAGGAAGACACCCTGCACAATTGAACAGAAGCTGGACTGCTGAAAGAGCTTCTCTTTCCCTTCTCTAAGTCCTTCTGTCTGTCCTACCCTTATGCTGGATCCCTGTCAGTAGCCACTTCAGCAGCTGCAGTGAGAGACAAAGGAAATGCTTCAGTCAGCCAGGGCTGTAAGCACAGGGTCCAATGGTTGCGTGGAAAACATCTTATATTGTACCTCAGCCTGCAATGCTTCCTAATAAAAATAAATGTGTGGCACAATCAACCCGTGTGCCAGGCCCGGGAGGACTTAGCTCCCGAGTTGCAGCCACTGATAGCCTCTTAATTGTTCTCTGGATTAGGAGATGGCACTTGCTATGGCCTCAGTGCTTGAAAGATAGGGCCTGGGTCTCTGCAGAACAGGCAAAGGTTTCCATGGATGCAGCCAATCCATATGGAGCCTAGGAAACAGAGACAGGCTTCTTTCTCCTTTACCTTCTCTGTTAAGCTGCTGTCTAGGTAGATAAACAGATGGCTAAACAGAGAGACTTAAGGGTAGAGAGAAAGAACAGGAGTCATCTTTGCCAATAAGGGAAAATCCTTAGGCCTTCTTAACAAGAAGACAACCTTAAAAGTTTTTAAATTATAGGCATTGGTTATGTTTATCAAGACATTAACCTCCTCTGGCATCTGGTAAGAAACTGGGTACTTCACAGAGTGAAACCACATCAAAGGGAGACTCGAATTATTCCTCTCTCATTTCACTTCCATTAAAAGCCAGCATTTTATTCATTCCCTGGAGTGCAGGATTTGATATATTCAGTCTTGAAATTTAAATCATAAAAACCACACACACACTAAAAAGTTTAACTGAGACAGTTGAGCTTATGCATTGCAGTTTGCTCTTACCACTCTTTCTAGTCAGTGCTTTAATAGTTAACATTCATCAAACAGGCAGGATTTCCTGAAGCCTTTTTCTACACAGGAGAGGCTGCACTAAAATGCATGTTACATTTCCTGGAAGTTAAGCCCCTGTGTGGATATGATGTTGAAGTGTCTAGAATTAATTAACATAAATAGTTTAATATGAATAGTTTAGTTCAGGGGTGCCAAAGCAATGGTGCACAGGCTAGATCCAGCCCACAGTGGTGGGTCATTGGGCTCACAGGGCTTCTCACCATCCAGATGACCCACTGCCAGAACAGGTCTACTGGGCTTCAGGTGGTAGGTACAGTGCTGGGTGTGAAACTGGTGGGGAGGACAAAGCAGCAGCCATGGAATTTGCACTAAAGTGGTAGGGTTTGCTCTTAGGGAAGCTGCTGCCCCAGGGGGATGCATCAAGTTAACCGGGTTGCCTCATTTGCCACAGAACGTAGACTTTCAAATTGCCACTCAGCACATAGTTCTGTTGCGACTGCCCTGGCTGACTATGCCAACACCTTCCTTTCCCCATGGTGGCTTGCTCTGGGTGAAACTCAACCCCTGGGAGGTGGTCCCCAGAGGCATAACTGGTAAACGCCACCATACCAGGGACACAAACTGACAGCTGCGGAGATGACAGCAGCAGTGTTAATCCTGGGCACTGGCTCTTATGAGAAATCCTGCAGTCCATATCCAGCCCACCAACTCAAATGAGTTTGAAACCTCTGGCTTAGTTGCTATGAATTAAATATCCCAAGTTCCTTCATACAAACTCCAGCAAAACCATTTCAGGCTGGACATAAGGAAGAATTTCTTCACTGTCTGAGCCCCCAAGGTCTGGAAGAGCCTGCCGCTGGAGGTGGTTCATACACCTACATTGAATGCCTATAAGAGAAATTTGGATGTTTATCTTGCTGGGATCCTATGACCCCAGCTGACTTCCTGCCCCTGGAGCAGGGGGCTGGACTCAATGATCTTCCGAGGTCCCTTCCAGCCCTAATGTCTATGAAATCTATGAAATTTATAAAGACAGTCCCTGAGTAGATGACTCCTGGTTCAGAAATGAAGCAACATGTGCATGTGCGCGCACACACACACACTCTCTCTGTCCCTCTCTCTCCAACTACTGCATTTATAAAAGCTGTGCTATCCTGTGGCCAGAAGACTAGATTGGAGGACGGCCAGGAAAATGAAACCACTCTCTAGACTCCCTATGACAACATTTGTGACAAATTTATTTACTGTACTCCTCAGCTCACTCAGCCAATTTAAAACAAGCAAAAACACAGCCCTACATGGCTTGCAGTTTAGAGACATACACCTGCAGCCCTGCCTTGCAGTGTTGGAACCCTGATTAGAATTAGGTCCTTCAAATAAATAATAAAGAACACACCTGTGCTGGTGAGAAATCCCATTTCTAGCATTTGTGAAGTTTTCAAAGCCCCTGGATCTGGGTCAGCGATCTAAGTATTTTTACCATTGCCACACAATGTCTTTGTGAGCAATAAGCCACCTTGCCTTCTAGCACTGAATCAGTTCTGCATGGATATTAGCAAAAAGATATTTTCTCCTTCTAGCTTCTAATGTAGATGCGAGTTGGAACAAGACAGCTTCCTTCCCCTACGAAGAGTACCAAACCAGGACACTAACACCCTTAACTTTAATAGCAACAGAGGACAATTTGATACTTGGAAGATGAAGCTTAGTATCCTTGGAAGTAAGCGACTGTAGCATAAGTGGAGTAGTGCTTTGAAAAGTGGATTATTTGCTTATCTGGTTTATGTACATCAAGCCACCTCTTTTGGTCACCTCTTAACACTCAGTAATTTGTACAAGGTTACCCTTTAAACTACGGTGTACTACCATGGCAGACCTAGGCTTTAACAGTTCTATAAAATAGAGGTGGAAGCCATACCAGGGTTTTTCAGAGCCCAGAATTTATCCTGTAAGATTTCATATTAAAAATGGATTAAGAAATCATGCAAATTAGTATAACTCCACCTATTTTTGCTAAGGCCCTGATTGAACACCCACTAATATAGACAGAAAGACTGAATTCAGTGGGCTTCGGAGCAAACTTGTCATCTGAGCTTTCACTCCTTGCCATCCAGCATGTAGCCAATAGCAGCTACTTAATCATGAACACCAAGACTTAGAAACTGGCTATTCCTGTTCTGCATCAAGTCCACGTGCTGCCACCCAGCTCCTCTATGCCCAAGGCCTATTAAGAGAAGTGACTTAAGAAAAGAGAGCTCACGAAAGAGTGGTTGCAAAATGGCCATTTATTGCCTACAGAGGGAAATAAAAGTACACAGGTGCAAAGAAACAAGCAGATATTTAGCCCTATACATCATGTGTGAGCAGTACCCAATCTCCAGAATGGAAAAAAATACTGTCATCTGACAATAATAGTTCAGGATTTTCAGCACCTCCCTTTTGAGCTGCCACAAGGTTAAAAAAGGCAGGACTGCTTAGCACAGTTAGTCTTTATTCAGTACTGTCCACACTGTCTGTAAAATGTAAAACCTCTCCCTTTTGCACGCATGTGCTGTACAGTATATATTGCGCAAAATCTCAGCTGAGCTGTGCAATTAGGAGTTTCCACCTCATTGACTGGTAAATTGTAACAAAACAGCTGGTGATTTTTGTCTGACAGTCTCTTGCTAGAAAAGTAGAATTATGGATGACAAATTAATGGACTGGTTCAGTGGAGTCAGTGACACTACAATTGCGTGGCACTTTATTCAGTTAAATTTATTTTTTTTTAAATGAGCGTTTTTTAAATTCTGAAATTTGAAGAGGAAATTCAAATTGTTTGAGGAAGGTCAATAGTTTTAAAATTCCTTCTGTGGCATAAGTTGTTTAGGCATTTTGCTCAGACCTAAAGTAAAGATGGCTTTGCTTTCTGACAACTAGATGAAGTTACTTAAGTAAAAGAGAATATGTATGGCCTCTGAACTGTACATGAAACTATGTCTTTCAAATTTAAAAGGTTAGAGTATTTTCTTACGAAAATGTAAGAGGAAATTGGCTGGACCTACTGTCAAACAGGCCCTCCTGGAGAATTCCCTCAGTTGGCACTTATTTAATGTTACACAATTAAGCAGGTTATATGCAATGAAGGCCCAACCCTATCTGTGGCTCTGTGAGGATCAGAAACAGAAAGATGCAGCTGTGCATTTTTCAAAAGCTTTAACCTAAATCCACAACTCTCCCGCAGTAGGGCAACTATACAGAAACTCAAAAAAAAAAGAAAAAAAAAAAAAAAAAAAAAAAAAAAATT